GACAGATGGTTGAAAGTGGCCGTTGGCTTTTTGAAAGTACAGCCACTGATTGGTCAGCAGACAATTACGCCACACGGCATGATTTGGATAAGACTAAGGCTTGGGAATCACAGATTTGCATAACGTTACGGCTGGTGATGGCTAATTGGTCGGCCGGGAATCACGCCACATGACATTTGCATAGTGTACGGTTCAGTAAGCAGTAATTGGTCATCGAGTCCGATGTTTCCGCTATAAAAAGGCGACATTTCGACACACCGGATATACGTCACTGTCGTCTAAGTTCGACTTGGAAAATTTTTTGTTCAATAATAAATGTGAATTCTTCTTCCTGGAAAAAATAAGACTTTCAATGAAAATAAGACCTAGCGCATTTTTCAAAGCAAAAATTAATATAAGACACTGTCTTATTTTCGGGGAAACACGGTAGCAGCATCAAGGATATAAAATTTCAAGAGCGAATCTCACGACTAAAGTGCTAATAATAATAATAATAATTGCTTTGTTTTTATTAATAAAATCTTAAAATAATTTCTCATTTAATATTATCATTTTTGAATTTTTCGAAATAAATATTAAAATATAAAAAGTATCCGCTAGAGGGATTTGGACAGGACAGAATGTCTTCGGCTACAAGAACGTGGAAGGTGAAGTATTTTAAATTTTCTTTTTATACGTAAAAGTATTAAAAATGAAAAACAATTTTAATTCTAGAAAAATTAAATTTATTTTAATGTGTACACTTTTTCAATCACATCGGACTCCATTATTTTAACCACTTATTTTTTTTTATATACATAAATATTCAAAGAAGACAATTTCCAAAAACATGCTTCACATCTCTTTAAATGACACACACACATCAAGTCTTACAAGTCTCACCCAAAATTCATTTTATTATTATTATTATTATTATTTAAAGCCATTTATAGAAAAACAGGTATTTTGGGAACAATAATACCATCTCTAAGAACTAAAATAATATCAAAAATAATAAATATAAATGAACAAAACAACACTAGGATTAAAATAACAGTTTAATCTTTATTTTCATCTTCAAAGCTAGACAAATTACTGTTTAAATTCTACCTAGGTAACCCCAATGGTGGCACTTCGGTTACGTTAGGTTAGATTAACTATATTCTTAGTAGACGTTTCCTTTCTTTTTTTATTTTGTTCAAGAACTATCGTGAATCAATAACTAGCGACGTTAAACGCTCGGCGACCTGCCGCGGCTCCCCTCAGGGAGCACAAACAGTCGGAAGTGTGGCCGTTGGAGCTACCTCGGTAGAATTTGATCAAATTACCATCTGAAAACTGTTTAAGAAGATAAATAACCATATTTCAATCAATCAATGCTTTATTGTGTGAACCTTAATTCTTTACAAGGGGGTAACAGAAACAAAAATTAGTGATGATATCTAACAAGTTAATTGTTTAGTACAAAATAACACAAAGTAAAATATAAGAGTAATAATCAGTTTTTGAAAAGAACAATATATTAATAATATCTTTCCAAGATTTAAACCTGATTAAATGCCTGTCTCTACTAACTTTAAATTTAACACAATGAAGAAATACATGTCTCTAAGTTCTGTATACTTGCATAATACAGTGACTATGTGTTTTTTTGGGATCTATTGTTAATCTGCTATTATATGTTAAGATATAATTTTGATCGCATCTCAAATGAAGAATTAATAATTCATGTCCATAAGCAAATAATGTTGACAAGTAAATGTTTTAATGCTACAATATAATTGAAAGTGCTTATTCTTTTCTAACAGAGACCAATCTTCTTGTATGCTTCAACACGGTTTTATGATTAATGGTTGATAACATTCGATCGAATGAGGATCCTGAGATACCCGTAGAAAAGAAAAACCATGTCGATCCAACAATTTTACAATGCTGACATCCAATTATATGTCATTTGTCATTGAACAACAGAGTTAATTTTTGCTCTTGAGAGAATAGGCCACATATTACTCTATGCCATTTTGGCTTAACGTATCTATAATTTTTAGCTTGTAAGAATCGTCCAGAAGACGAAAATAAAACTCCCGGGTATATGTAATTTGAAACAACTTGTAAAGATTGATTGTTAAGAAATCATCTTTCTCTGGGTGACATTCGACCTCTCTTCTTGACGTATTTCACTCGGTCACTTATGAGGGTGAAAACAAAATAACAAATTCTAATTGAAATTTCAACCTTTAACACATAAGTCATACTCTGATTTTGAGATAAGATGTACCTTTTCTACGTTTTCCCAAAAAGTATATTTGCCAGCAAATATGGTTATTTAAAAAATTTCTGGATATTAAAATCCAAGAATATTCAAAAATGTTTTTGATTTTTTTTTTATCTTAGATAATTGTAAATGAAAAATCAAGTCTATTCTCCATGAAATAGTAATAATTTATTTCTATTGTTTGATATGTTGTACTCGGAAAGTCTCAATCAATCAAAAATAGTTATGTATTTTTTAGTAGCCCATGTTATTTGCAATAGTTGGGAAATGTTTTAAGAATCAAATCCTTTGACATTTTCTAATAATGATATTCATAATTATTTACCAGCAGAAGTAGATAAAAGAATATAGATTAATTTTTTTTTCAAAATGTTTCAAGTAATTATATGATGATAAAAGAAATTGCAGTACATTTTGTGACCGCAGGGTCGGCACCTCTTTGGCGCCCTGTCAGGATGACACCACTGCGTCTTGTAGACACAGAAAAATTTTATTGTCCGTTTATTTGGTTACGCGAACAGTCGCGTTTGTGGACTTTTAGTTCCGGGATGGAGGCGTAACGAGAGAATCAGAGGGAGAACACTCTACATAATCTATACATAATGCCCGTTTATTGTGCATACTATATACAATCGGTTCAATGAACATATCTATTTTTGCCCGGTTACCTGTATTCCTGAGAGAGAGAGCTCACATGAATTTCGCGTGAGGATACCTTGGTTTGAATCGTCGATTAGTGACTTCACAAAGTTCTTTTGAACGTTGAAACGCTTTTCCCAGTTGCACAAAGTTCTTTCGAACATTGTTGGGCGTAGTCCTTCCGAACAGTGGCGATTAGATGAGTTCCGGGTAGCGGCTAATCTGTTCACGTAAATTGCACAGTGCACCAATTTTCAGAGACTGACTCTTACGTATCAACCCCTCCTTTTTATAAAGGGGGTCTCGTTGGGTTTTTTCCACTGCCTTATTAGGACTGTTTTTTCACCACTGACCAACAGTCTTTTCGAGATTTTGGGTGACACATTCGATGTATCATACTTGACAAGGAACTAAGTTCGTGGGAAAAGATTTTTATGTTCTTTTTTTATATCGGTTTGAAATTTATTTCTTTACACTTTTCCTCCCTCAACAAAAATTTATTTATCAATTTATTCCCTAAATTCGACTCTCACAATTTTATTTTAAGGAAATCGTAGGAAGTATTAAAATTTCTGAATATGTATTCATTATATTATTTGTTCCAACGATGGCATCTTTACTAGTGGTGTTCAATATCATGAAATTATAATTGATCTATATGAATTATATCAGTATAGTTCTATATCAATAGCAACTATAACAAATTACTTAAACAGCTTTATTTCTAAAACGTACCATTTATTTAAGCTCGGTTTGTACACAGAATTAATTTTGCAAATTATATTTTAATTTTTAATTATGTATTTTTGTTGGCTTAATAGAAATTTATAATGATTGTCAGAAAACTTAAGAATATTTTTCATTTATTGTAAATTTTTGTTAGTATTTTTCTTCTCTAATTTTTATCCAATTGGTCTATCAGATTTAAATAGTGGTATATTAAAGAGAATGAATCTATCACAAAATATTGTTAGCGCTGTATTGTCAGATATGGGACAGCTTCCACGGCAAAAATATTTGATTCGCGTAAAGCAGCCATATTATACGCATTCGCTTTACAGAGCACCAACCTCACGCAGTTTAGCTCGAGGATGCTACACACCAAAATGTCATTTAATGCTTCCAATGATTCTATCCAGATCCAGAGCAGCTTCCCTATATCAAATGTAACCACACACCACTGAAATACAGTACACTTACAATAAAAAGCTACAAAAATTCATCAGAAAGTAAAGATACCAAACTGAACTGAGTATTTCATATCATAATGATGATTAAAGAATAGGTAAAATCCAGAGCTCTTTATAGAAAAAATTATCGGGTAAATCTCGACTGTATTTGGTTTACATAACTTCCTTTGTCGGTTTTGATTTCTGGGAAAAATTTTACTTCAGAATTCAGATACTAGGGTACAGTTTGGAGCTGCTTTTCCCTTAACATGCATATTATGAACATTTTCTAATGAATTTTGCAAGTTAAAGTGTAATGATTTTATTTGTTATAGACTTGATTGCAGACGTGGAATTGACAATCTTGTATAGATAAAAATGTAAAATTTTTTCCAAAATTTTTCACACTGCCATGTAGGGTATGTCTACTCGCCACAATATTCCACATGCACTATTGTTGGCATGAGAATTTTTCCTTCTATGCTCTGCTACTGCAGTAACATTATTAGAAGGTCCAATTGTTATGTGAATGTGACCCAGTCTCCAGTCTGCAAAATCATTTTCATAAGATTTATAAAGGGATAACTAAGAACTGAAATTTCTTCAGTGTCAAGTTAGCATCATTGTTTTATTATAGTTTGTCTGATCATGCATTACTTATTAAAATAAGTACCATGACTTTTCAATTGTCAAAGAATTGTGAAAAATATTTTATCACTCCTTTTATATCTAAAACTCATTAGATGATGATTGTAGTAATAATTTACATATTAAGACAGACAGACAGCAGTGCAAAATTTCATTCTAGCAGATGAATTTTGAAACTTTCCCAAAAATTGAAACTGCATATTCAGGACAGTGTGTATATGAAATTTGGTTGAGATTGATGTAATAGTTCTTTCTACAGAGAGCTCTGAATACCTACTTTTTGATATGATCACTTTGTAGGTAAAAAAAAGTTTTACATAAGAACTATAAAATACAAAAACTAGTTTTTGCATACTCTCTTATTCAGAAATTCATGAAAAACACTTTAAATTTCTGCATTTTTATCTACATTTAAGAAACTGTAATGTTTAATATCCAATTCTGGAAGACGGTTAATAACTAATCATGTTCTTATATAAACCGACGGTTAGTGAATTAAAATATTCATTATTAATTGCATTGTAACTAACAAAGTTCAGGAAAACTCATCTCTATTGTATTATTTCTATAATTCATTATATATTTTAGCCATTTTTATAGTCAATTTGATTTAATTTTTACCAAATGTTTTTATAGATGGTGAAACCTCACATTCCTCTAATTCGATTTAGGAAAGGAGGACGGCCAATACAAGGTACGAATAAATTTGCTGCGAAACTCTGACGTGCGCAAATACTTTCCTAATTTGACTTTATTTGCAGAACATGTCTCCGAACAGTCGTCGTCTAAAACAAAAAGTGTCGTAGACGAATTTGAATTGCCGGCAAAATATGCACGAAAGCCTCTATCTCATCAAGAAATGGAATTTATAGAAGTATATTAATTAATTTTGAATTCTAAATTAGCAAAAAATTTTATAAATAGGTAAAAGTTTATTTCCTTTTTACTTTTGTAGAGAGGAGGACCAGAATAATTTTGTAAATTATATGATTGCACAATAGGTTTTATTTATCACAGATTTGTGTAATGGAAAGATGAATGGATCTTCAAATCCAACTCTGATTACTTAAAGGCATTCTGTAGATACTTTAATAAATTATTTACATATACAGTTTTTAGAAATTTATCACCATATCAAAATTCGTTTTGTACATTTTGATTTATATCACTTTCGGACAAAAAAAAAATTTATATATCAAACTGTATTTTATTGAAGAAAGAAGAAAATTAAAAAGACAATACCCATACATAAGTGCGTTATTTTGAGATAACCTTCTGTGATAGAAGGGTGAAGACGACATCTTCACGTCACAAATACTACAACGTCCGTAGTAGAATGGAAACATCCTCGTGCCAGTAGATAGTACAGGGATGTTTGCTATTCTTACAAAAAATCACATTTTGTGTGATATTAAAAAAAAAAAAAATAGACTGGTGTCTTCTTACTCAGTTTGACAAAGATCACAACCAGAACCGAATTCTTGCATTCCCCCTCAAAGCATGAAAATAGTCTTAAAATTGTAGAAAGTTAAAGAAAAATTTTTTTGAAGTGTGTGTTCATGCAAAAACGTATCTTTGCAAAAATTGTTAAAGCATACAAATTAGCAGGAGTCAAAGTGAATTAGGTGTTAGCATGCAAGATGTCAAAAAAATAAAATGTGAATGTAATGTTAAATATGGAGAGAAAAGCAATATTAATAGATACAGACAGTGATAAAGCAGTGAAATCTTTAATGCACTGCACAGCAGATGCAAATAGTAAAAAGAAATTGTTTTAAATGGTCACTTTTGTAACCACAATTGATTGTTTTTTTTTTTTTGCCATTCAATTTAACTTAAAACATTGATACAAGTATAAATGATAATTAGGAAATACAACATTGTAAATTATTTGATAATAGATGCTCATTCACTATTCCATTATAAAATATACAAAAGTTTATAGGATACAAACATACTTTTGATAATTTGTGTACAATTTCTTCCTAATAATTTAAAACAAAAAGGTGTCAAAAGAAATTTTTACATCTCGAGTCGATATAACAATGATAATACAATTTTTTTTCCATATATACATATATATTAATGTATATAATCAACACACAGTTTTCGACAATTATATAACAATAACGAAAAATTACTACATAAGGCATTTTGTGTATCCTGATGTGTATGGAAAAAGCATCGAAGAGTGGTTGGCTAAAAATGTAGTTTTGCATTTGCCACTCTCATGGGAATGTAAACGCGTTTAGAAAGATTAATTGCCGATTAAAAAATACGGCAATTACGAGGACTATTTTAAGAACTATAAAACTGTAAGTTTCCAAAAAAACGACTACTGTTTATATCTGGTTACATAGTTTGAATAATTTTTGATAAGAATTAATATGAAGAATTTCCTTAAAAAATAAAATATATAAATTTGTCCATGGATTGTTAATTTTCGAGGAATAAGTATCGTTTGATTATTTCCAAATCTTATAATTTATGTAATTTTCGCATTAATTTACATATTTGATTATGCATAACAACGTGATAAAAAATACAACATATTTACAATTGTCTTTTTTCCTGCGATTTATGGAATCTTAAAAACTGATTTCTAATAAATGCAGTTTGGAGGAATGAAGGATATTAAATACCTGACACGAATAATAGTTTATAAAGTATGATAAAATTTCTTAAACAGTAACAAAAAATCATCACAAAGTATGTAATTACTTTTTTTTTGTTCATATTGTGAAAACCACATTTTTATAAAATATATACTACACCCAACAGAGTACACTTACTAACAATTTCACAACCAACATATACATAAAATAAATTGCAATATATAAATATTATCATCTTTATATAGATCAAAACAAAAAATCTTAATTGATTTGATTTAGAAACTGCTTTTAAAGCTGCATAAATAAAAAAAAATTCTAAATAAATAAAAAATGAAAAAATAGAATTCTGTGGAATGCAAAGTGGAAATAAATAAATAAAAATATCTATCTTTCGAAAGTGTACTTAACAAAATTTCTAAGTATAAATGTGCAGCTTTCGTACACGTTTGATTGACAAGGAAATATTTTCTTTTTTATAATCATAAATTTGATGAATTAGAAGAATTATTCTAAGATATAAAGTTTAGATGATATCTTAATGTTTGAACACCATGTTCATTCTGTCCATAATGTAATCTTTAGCTGGTTCGTAATATTCCCTGCGTAATATGATCATTTCTGGCAATTTGCGAACATCACTGAAAAGTGTGGAGTCTGATTCCATGACAACAATCAAAAGGCACGATAGGATCAGGAGAACAAAGAGGCTAGCCAATACAATAACACGCATGACATATACGTGAGGAGGTAAAGAATTCGAGGAAACAACGAATGGTCCCCTTCTTTTTGGGATTTTTACATCTAGTGGTATATTGTTATCAATGCATCTAGCAGAAAAAGGTATGTGGTTGGATGAGATTTCGGGAATTTCTACGTCAGTCAGATTGTCTTCTAGAGAACTCGGCTGTTCGGGAAGATGATTAGAAATATGAGACGTCGAGAGGTCAGGAGTGTCGGGTTCGGCAAAGGCATCTACTTCCGCGGGGAGAGAGGAGTCAAGAGGTACGAGATCCCTCTCCTCCTCCTTTAGAGTCTCCAGAGCATCCATCGGCAGACTGTTTGCAGTAGGACTCTGAGTAATCGAATTATCGGTCAAAGAATCGTTAGGCTCTATCAGAATGGTACCAGTCATTGGTGTAGAATGATTGGCGTAATTGAGATTTCCAAAATCTGTCAAATATTGAAAAATTTCAGATATCAAATAATTGTTGCACATCATATAAAAACAATTATTATATATATATAAAAATTTTTAAAGAAACAAATGTGTATATACAAGTATATATAAAGAACTATAAGTAGAAATTATAATAATTCATATATTTAAATTGTAAATGGGGAGACAATTTCATTAATAGTAGAGCTAACACTTTTATACACGTAAATGTTTAAAATGTCTTAATACATATTAATATTTGAAAAAATAATGCAGCTTCTTTAATAAACTTGCAATTCTTATTAAACTTAAATTTAAAATATACATAGCCTATTTAATAAAAAAAATTCATCAAATTTATATAAATAAAATTATTTAAATTTTGTATGTAGTCTATAAATCTTTCAAATGGTATCATCAATTTGCTTAAGCTTGTACATTAAGTGTTAATTTCTTTTTATTATATATTTGAAATTATTTCTCCAGTTCATTTATATAAAATGTTTTTATAGATCATTTTAAAATTCCATTCTTTAAAACTGATGGAGCTATTACATATATATTTTTTATTTACAGATTTTTGTTATTTTTTGTGCCTACTTCATTAAGCAGTATTTGAAAGGTAGAAATTTAACATTTGACAAATATGTATAAAATCATCAGTTAAAAAATAGTGCATTATTGCTTATAAATTAAAGTGGATTAATTAATAAGCTATTTTACATGAAAATTGCTTTCTTTTTCTTTCTATGTAATTTTGCTTAAAACTATAAAGTTGAATAAAAACAGTAATATTGTTATGAATTTTCTGAAATATGTATATATCAGTTTGATTAGTTACAAAGAGAATATATTACACTTGTTTGAGACTGTGCAGATTTTTGATTTTTACTGAAGTGAAATCCAAATTTTCTGTTTATGATTTATTTTTATTGTTTTTAAAATCTTAAAAAGTTTTACTGAATAATTTCTACATTCAATAAATAAAAAGAAAGTTTACCATCACCAATCTCTTGAGGAGAAGATGGTGTTGTGTGTGAGTATCCATCTCCTTTATGTCGAAATGAAGACGGTCTTGTTAAACAACGTTGAAAATATGGTGCTTCTCTCTTAATATTCTTCATTTCTTCAACAACTTCTTTTTCAACACGACCACTACATAATAGTTGTTAAAATAAAACATATATATTTTTATTGTATAACAATTATTTGTTATGCTTACTTCCTATAAATTTATAAGAGAAAATATATTTAAAACATTTTTATGTAGAAAAATAGACAAACTTTTCTACATAAAAATGATAAAAGATATTTAATTGTCTTAAGATAATTTAGTTTATTTGATTATTCATAAATAAATTTTTCTTAATTTTATTACTTGTTTCCAAAATTCTACAAATGATTAATGTAATTAAAGTATTTACAATATGAATTTTAATATTTTTTAAATTTAATTCTACATATAAACTCTCGTAAAGAAATCAATATTCCAAGAATTTTGTGAACTTACATTAAATATCATTTGAAAAAGCAAAAAAAAATTGATAAATTCTTAAAATAGCTTAATATTATTTTCTTCATTAAAATTACTTTCACTTATTATTAAGCCATTCAGTTTCTTTATAAAAACCAGGAATGTTTTTTTATGTATCATTTGATTTATGCCTATGAAGCTTACGTTTGAAGAACAATGTAATTTACATCAATTAATTTATAAAATTTCATAGTGTAATTATTTTTTATCCTATTGTATTTATCTAATTGTAGATAAATATAATAATAAAAGTAATACAGTGTTTCTAATTTAAAAAATAATAATTTAGATTATCTTAAGAAAACGTCAAATAGGTTTGAAAACTACATGTGATTTTGTTAAACATTGTAGTCAGCAACTATATAAATAGAATAATTGCTTCCATCAGTGTTAGAAATTTCATCATTTTTCTTTCAATCATCTCTTAAAATAAATATGTAAATAAAACAATATCTTTGTATAGACTTATTCCATTGTATTTTACAGAAATATTCACAAAGCTTAAAATATTTTTCTCAAATGATGAAGAAAGTAATTATTACTAGAGCAATCAGTAACAAAAAATTTCAAATGCTATATTTTTAGACAATAATTTTATTTTAAACAGGGCTGTGGAGTCGTGTAAAAATCTACCGACTCCGACTCAACAGCCCTACCAGGGCTGTGGAAGTCACTTAAAAATCTACCGACTCCAACTCCGACTCTTCCTTACCATCCGACTCCGGCTAAAACATCAAAACTCCATGACTCTGACTCCACAGCCCCGATTTTAAATAAACGTTGAATATAAAAAAATTAATAAGGATAAGTAAATAGTTTCAAAATATTTGAATGCCATTAGGTTTTATGTTAGAAGCAATAAACTAAAATGGTTTCTTTGCTAATATAAACTTTTGCAAATTTTTCTATAAAATATGATGAAACAGTTTGTAGAAAAGTACATAAATAAAAAGAAAGATAAATATCCCAAAAATGTTGAGAGAAAAGAATGAAATTCAACAACACTGACAATTCAAACACAAATGCATTAAAAGGTTTTAAAAGATATGCTACAACTTTGTAGTTGACAATGCTCCCTTTTTTTCAATAGGTGCTGAGAAATTTGCACCATTGTTTAGTGCATGCCCAACATAGTATACATCTGCAAAAGATCTACAGTGAATGTCCTATTACTTTTTGAAATAATTGGTCAGGGAGAGACTTCTTACTACTAAATATATGCATTTCCCACATATTTGAACAGTTCTAGCAAAAAATCCAGCCATTTTCAAGCATTGTGCCCATTGGAACTTTTAATCAGTTAATCAAGAACTGTAACATGCTAAAATTTCAGTAAATTTTGCCAAGGGCCAAAACTCACAAAGACTGTGCACGATTCCATCCCTGATTGATAGATTTGCTAGAATAAGACTCAAATTCTTTCATCATTATCAGATGAATTTAGAAAAAATATTTTAAATAAATTGACAGATATGTAATGACTAGGACAATAAACTGAATAATTATGAATAAGTACCATCTAACTGCCATACTTAAACTGCAAAGTGCAATATTTAATGAATCAATTAGAAGCACATCAAAAACATAAAATTGTTGTAAACTATTTTGCTTTATAGAGTCTTAAAGTAAAATTTACAAATTTTTTACCATTTATTTTCAAATCTTACTGAGAAATAATAATTTGGTTTGTAATTTAAATACAGTATTATTATTACTAAAGTATTATTATAAGTAAAAATATTAGTAATAATATTATTATTACTAAAAATTTTTAAACATAACTTTATACATAATTACCTATAACGAAATTTTGAACCACGAGATAATAATCCTCCTCCTGTTGTAACCTGTGGAACTTCACTGGATGAATTCATCCTAAAAATAAAATTGGATTAATATGAACTATTTGTTTGAATTCAAAATCCATATAATCTCTTCTTATAACAATACTAACAAAACTAAATGTGAATACAGTGGTGCCTTGACTTAAGAGTTTAATTCGTTCTGTGATGGAACTTGTAACTCAAATTACTCTTATGTCAAATTAATTTTCCCCATTGAAATGCCTTTAATCCATTCCGGACCCCCAAAACACCACAATTTTTTTGTTCCATGTTTTTAAATAAGAAAAATGTACTTATAAATAACAAATATTGTATAAAAACAATAGATTGTACTGCAATAAACTGGTTTTGCAGATGTTGCAGCATTTTCTGCATAGATAAAGAAAGAAAAGATGGAAAATTTGAGAAATGAGAGACAGTGGTGCCTCAGCACACAACATGGAAGTGAACTAATACCGATGTCACTTGATCACTTGTTTTTCTGTAAGCTAGCCTGTCAGACATTGGAAGAGTAATGAAAATGACGAAATTACAGTAGTTTTCCCATCTTCTTTTTCTTAATCTATGGTTTACTGTGGCATTCGCTGAGCCAACTAGTGGGGTATCTGAAGCTGGCTCGTAACCCAAATTTAGCTCTCAACTCAAAGCAAAAAATTGGCCAAGAGACAGCTTGTATTTCAAAAAATTCGTAAGTTGGGTCACTTGTAAGCCAAGATACCACTGTACTTATTATTAAGATTTTTAATCTAATTTTTATTATGAATGCATTTATGATTACTGCAAAATTTTAAAATTAATTACAAGAGGGAATATACAGGGTATCCTATTTTAATCAATGTATGGAATATCTTGAGAAATTTGCATCCTACAAAAAACATGTTCAGACAAAATTTTTACTGTATCAAGGGGACCACGAGATGATGCTGTTGGTTTCTCAATAGATAATACTACAACTCCTGGTCAAAAGTATGGAATAATGTTATAAATTCCTGCATCACAACATTTCAAAGGCAAGTTTTAAAAAATATTTAATGTTTGCTTGTTGATTTCTTATGCAAATTTTGAGAAGCTATATTTGCATAAACATATGCTAAAATGAAATCAGTTTTATGTATTATAAAAAAAGTATGATTCATTTTACTAATCAAGAGTAGAGACAAAATATGGAATACTAGCATAGTAGAGAAAAAAGTTTAGAATATGATGGGCATGTTCCATATTAAAGTTAATTTAGTGACACTGTTATTGTGACACACTTTCAGATTGACTGTACTAGTACTTAATGTTCGCATTCTAAAACCATGCCAAAAATACTAGAACTGAGTGATGCAAAGTAAGAGATGATAATTTCATATTACAAGCATGGTGAAAAGCAGCAGATAATTGCAAACATGTACAATGTACACAAAGTGCAGTGTCTAAAATTATAGCTAAATATAAAGCACAAGGAACTGTCTCCAATCAACATAGATGTGGACGACCCCACATAACTATGGCATGAGAAGACAAATCTTCCTCCTTTAATGATTCTGATGAGATTTCTAAGATTCCAGAGAGATAAATGGAAAGCAGCTGGTACAGATGTGTCTTTTCAGATACATCAGAACAACTTGCAGAAGGTTAAATGAACATGGCTACATATCTAGAAAAGCAAAGAAGAAACCATATCTGACTGAGAAGTATAAAAAACTGTCTGCAGTGGGCAAAGGCCAACCAGAATTGGGATTTGATGCATTGGAAACAAGTTATATTCACTGACAAGTCACATATTTGCCTGGAATATGGAGATAACAATGGTATCAAAGTTTAGAGAAAACACAATGAAAAGTTTCTATTAGAATGACTTCTTTCAAAAACAAAATTTCCAGATGGAGTTACTGTTTGGGGTGCCATGACTGCAGCAGGACCTGGACATTTGGAAACACTACAATAGTACAGTGAATACAGAGGTTTACTTGGAAATTTTAGACAATTTTGTGCTAAAAACAGCAGAGGAACACTTTGGTGATTCTGATTTTATCTATCAAGATGACAACGCATCTTTCCACCATGCTAAAACAGTATTCCAATGATTCCTGAACAAAAACATTTCACATTTAGATTGGCCACCAAACAGCCCGGATTTAAATCCAATAGAGAATTTGTGGAGATTTTGAAGAAAATGGTTTAAAAAAAATAAATAAACTGGCTTCATTGTCCAAATTGAAGAGTGCTATTCAAACCAGCTTGGCAGAAATATCTGCAGACTTATATGAAAAGTTAGTTGCTTCAATACCAAGATGTATTAAAGCAGTTATAAATGCCAAAGGTGGTCCCATGCAGTAGTAATTTACTTTATACTTATGTCTCTGTAATTACTATATTCCATATTTTTGTCTGATGTTGCTAAAGTGTTGGGTGTGCTGTTTGTTAAATTTTTTTTATATATATTTCTAGTCTAATTTATAATTATTCTTTATAAACAATATTAGCTTTACATACATGTGACTAAACTTTAATAATAAAAAAATTTAATATAGAATTAAACAATAGTTAAACAAAAGAAAATAAAATATTGTAATTTAAAACAACGAGAAACAAAACAATGGAAAATATCTTTAAAAATAGTCAGATGACACTTAAAATCAATAGTTTAGATGCTGTGAAATGACATGCTATGTTGCACAGATGATCAAACTTAAATTTTTCATAAAACATAAAAGATTTCATTTTTGAAATTTTAAAATTGTTTTCAGTAATATATTCAACATTCCCTACATATTGCACCATTTCTCATTTCTATAATAAATCTGCTTTCATCCAACATTCTTTGTTAGTAATTCAATGGGATTTATTGTAATTTTATTATTTAACTTTTTCTAAGTGTCTCTTAATCAGTAAATTTAATTCTATAATTGATTTAAAACCAACCAATATGCAAATTAAACTAGTTTAACTTATTAAATTTACATGTTTAATGACTTTCTTTTCTTAGGCATTATTAAATATGCAAAATTAAGAAACTGAATACTAAAAATATGTATTCATTGCTATAAACAAAAACACTCAACCTTTCAGATTTTTTTACAAAATAAATTAAACCATTTTCATCTTACAAAACTTGTTTTCAAACCATTAATAATATTTAATTGATATATAAAAAATATTTGCACCAGTCAAAAGATAGCATTTACTTTCAATAATAATAAAAATGTTATCTATAAAATGAAAATACCAGAAATGCTAAAAATATTTAAAATAGCCTAAATTTTTTAAAATTGGTCCTTGCCACTTAGAAAGTGAGCCAATTATCGTAAGATACTTTTATTCAGAACTGCTTTTGTTATTTAAAAGTGTAAAACTTGAAATATTAGTACAGTAGAGTCTCGAAAACTTGGCACTCGATAACCTGGCAGTCCGGATAACTCGGCCACACTCTGGCAGGGCAAAAAAATCCTTAGTTAATTCATTTTCATTATAGACAGCTTTATGCCTCAAAGTATTTTTCTGAGGTCTGTCTTATCAGGTAAATTACTGTACACAGTGTATTCATTAATTTTCATTTTCATGTAGTAAAGGCTCTATGCCTTCATAAAGGACGTACTTTTCCTTTGTTTAAGGGTATTTGGGCAGTTTATTCTCTGTTGTATTCTCAAGTAAACAATACATACAAGTACAGTACAGTATTTTCCGAGGAAACACTCATACTTATTTTTTTCAACCCCATTCCCGATAACCCGGCATTTTCACAAACTCGGCCACCCTTCGGTCCACATTAGGCCGAGTTTTCGAGACTCTACTATATTAAGCTTAAAATTATTATTTTTTTAATTCTTTAAAATCTGCTTATAACTCAATTTCTCTACAAATATTCTTTGTTTTAATCCAAATTACTCATTTTCTTTGAATTACAGTTACAAAATACTTTCATTATAACTACTTTTTAATTTGACTCAATGTAAAATATTGAATTCTACATTTATTATAGTATCACTAATTTTATTCTGAATGTAATGATTAAGTGATTAATAATGATAAGACGATTTACGTGAAGAAATATCTTTGTTCAACAGCACATCTCCATAAATGAAGGCAAGCAGCTTGAGTTGGACATTTAAATCCAATCAGATGTTTTTTCTGAAATTAAAATAAATAAGAATAAAATGATTAGAGAGGAAAAGTGGAGTAGGATGACGTTTGTTTTCACTTTTACTTTTATGAACAAGCGTCATCAATTTGCTGTAAAATTCAAGCAAAGGCCTAATATTGTTGATATGTAACATTATTATATGCAGAAAAGTACAAGAATAATCAATGTTTGAAAATTTAGTCTAAAAAATTTATTTAATGACGTTATTTTATTTTAAAAAATATTTTATTCATAGTAACGCGTCTGAATTTATATATAAATTTGTCGAAAAAATTTGTCATTTTTGAGATTGTCATTTAATTTCAACAGATTAGTCATATTACATAGTAATTGGAAAGAATAATGAACTATTTAATCTATTCATTATTATTATTATGTTAATCAAATCTATTTTTATAATAAAGAAATTATTTAAGAGTTTATTTATTAGCAATATATCAATATTTTCGATTTTGTATATAATATAAGAATTATGGAATAAAATAACAACGTTTAGCCAAACATTGTTATTTTATTCCATAATTCTTATATTTATCATTATTTTATTTTTAAATTTTTGCAAACTAATTAAATCTGTAATATTAAATAATATAGTACTTAATTTAATTATTACAGATTATGTTATATTAGGTTAGATGAATAAATGTGATATAGGCCTATCAAATTATCGAAAAAATTCCTAAGAATCAATTAACAATGATTATTTTTCATTCTTTTCTTTATTAAAACGCACGCGACATCACAATATCCCAAGAGTTAATTCGAACAAATTTAATCATCGTATTTTGTCTCGCTNTCCCATGCAATAGTAATTTACTTTATACTTATGTCTCTGTAATTACTATATTCCATATTTTTGTCTGATGTTGCTAAAGTGTTAGGTGTGCTGTTTGTTAAATTTTTTTTATATATATTTCTAGTCTAATTTATAATTATTCTTTATAAACAATATTAGCTTTACATACATGTGACTAAACTTTAATAATAAAAAAATTTAATATAGAATTAAACAATAGTTAAACAAAAGAAAATAAAATATTGTAATTTAAAACAACGAGAAACAAAACAATGGAAAATATCTTTAAAAATAGTCAGATGACACTTAAAATCAATAGTTTAGATGCTGTGAAATGACATGCTATGTTGCACAGATGATCAAACTTAAATTTTTCATAAAACATAAAAGATTTCATTTTTGAAATTTTAAAATTGTTTTCAGTAATATATTCAACATTCCCTACATATTGCACCATTTCTCATTTCTATAATAAATCTGCTTTCATCCAACATTCTTTGTTAGTAATTCAATGGGATTTATTGTAATTTTATTATTTAACTTTTTCTAAGTGTCTCTTAATCAGTAAATTTAATTCTATAATTGATTTAAAACCAACCAATATGCAAATTAAACTAGTTTAACTTATTAAATTTACATGTTTAATGACTTTCTTTTCTTAGGCATTATTAAATATGCAAAATTAAGAAACTGAATACTAAAAATATGTATTCATTGCTATAAACAAAAACACTCAACCTTTCAGATTTTTTTACAAAATAAATTAAACCATTTTCATCTTACAAAACTTGTTTTCAAACCATTAATAATATTTAATTGATATATAAAAAATATTTGCACCAGTCAAAAGATAGCATTTACTTTCAATAATAATAAAAATGTTATCTATAAAATGAAAATACCAGAAATGCTAAAAATATTTAAAATAGCATAAATTTTTTAAAATTGGTCCTTGCCACTTAGAAAGTGAGCCAATTATCGTAAGATACTTTTATTCAGAACTGCTTTTGTTATTTAAAAGTGTAAAACTTGAAATATTAGTACAGTAGAGTCTCGAAAACTTGGCACTCGATAACCTGGCAGTCCGGATAACTCGGCCACACTCTGGCAGGGCAAAAAAATCCTTAGTTAATTAATTTTCATTATAGACAGCTTTATAAAAGTATAAAAGCTCTCATAAAGTATTTTTCTGAGGTCTGTCTTATCAGGTAAATTACTGTACACAGTGTATTCATTAATTTTCATTTTCATGTAGTAAAGGCTCTATGCCTTCATAAAGGACGTACTTTTCCTTTGTTTAAGGGTATTTGGGCAGTTTATTCTCTGTTGTATTCTCAAGTAAACAATACATACAAGTACAGTACAGTATTTTCCGAGGAAACACTCATACTTATTTTTTTCAACCCCATTCCCGATAACCCGGCATTTTCACAAACTCGGCCACCCTTCGGTCCACATTAGGCCGAGTTTTCGAGACTCTACTATATTAAGCTTAAAATTATTATTTTTTTAATTCTTTAAAATCTGCTTATAACTCAATTTCTCTACAAATATTCTTTGTTTTAATCCAAATTACTCATTTTCTTTGAATTACAGTTACAAAATACTTTCATTATAACTACTTTTTAATTTGACTCAATGTAAAATATTGAATTCTACATTTATTATAGTATCACTAATTTTATTCTGAATGTAATGATTAAGTGATTAATAATGATAAGACGATTTACGTGAAGAAATATCTTTGTTCAACAGCACATCTCCATAAATGAAGGCAAGCAGCTTGAGTTGGACATTTAAATCCAATCAGATGTTTTTTCTGAAATTAAAATAAATAAGAATAAAATGATATATTTCATAAATAAAAAAATAGGAAAAGAAATAGAAGAACTTTACAATACCTTTGTCCTAGAATCCTGTTAGGAGGGGGAAAAAATTAAAATTATTTATATTGAAATTCCAATTAAGTCTAGCTAATTTTAATTTAATCAATTGTTTCTTGTTTAATTTTCTATTTAAAAAAAAAATTATAATTTGAAAGCCATTAATTTTGAATATTATATTATATTTTTTAAAATTTCAATTATCATTCCATGTTGAAGAAACTGTTTGGTATCTTCTGGATAAATTGCTGTGAAGCTTATATTAGTGTTTATTATTAATAATATTATGTAATACTATTGGTAATGTTTTGTCTGATACTGACTATGAGGAGCTATCTAAGATGATATTGAAACAAAACAAAAACAGTAGCAAAGAAAGTTATTGAGCTGCAATTTAAAAAAATTGTAACCTGTAAATTCCCACTGATGTTTGTCTTCAGTCTTTCCTTAATTTCAAGAATGGAATTAGATAGATGAAAGACGAGACCATAAATGGAAACCTTAGGGACATAAGAGACTCTGACTAACTATATAAGAACTTCCAATGCAAACCAGAAGTCACATTATTTCAATTGAGAACTTTTCCCCTAAAAGGAGTTAATAGATGACCAGCTAGACTATTGTTAAAGGAAAAGTATGATGTATGGGGCAAGCCACTACTAATTTGAGGTGGAGAGCATATATTTTAAATTAAATAAATTAAAAATATGATTAAAAATTGCAGCCCTGCATTGTGACAATGCCACAATAAATAATTGCTCATTTCCTTTATTTAGCTGTTTGATAAGCCATTTAATACATCACTTTTTTGTAATTAAGGATATTTAATCTGCTAGAAATAACAAAAAGCAATCTAATCATTGATGACTTGTGGTCTTAGGCTTTGAAGGACATCCATCCATTAGACAAACTAGAAACCATTCCAGCTTGAGAAAACAATTGTAAAAATAAAAATGTTGGCCAGGAGAATTGATGGAATAAGATTAGAGGACTTAGAAAAGATTAGAGGACTTAGAAAAGAAGGATGGCTAAGATTTAACTGATGGGCAGACAATATTATTAACAATTTTACTAGCACAAATGAGAATTTTTCATGTCTACTATTTTTGGTAGTACTGGTTTTTAGAAGCAAAAATCCAACCTGCCAGTGAAAAAGTTAAAGAATATCAATCTGGAGGAGCTTGTTTGTTCAAATTCTATGGTTAAGGACAAAGTTGTCAAGGAATGCCTCCAAGAGAAGAAACTCAACTTGGAAATTTTCACACAGAATTTTCAAAGAAAATATGTGATACCATAAGCCTTGCAGATTTCTCTTAGGAATATGATGACAATCTGGTTCATGCAATGAAATTTAAGGAAGGACTTGACAATATTTAAACACCACATGCAATTATGTTAAGAGAATTACAACAGCAGGTTCTTCCAAAAGACATCAACAAATAACTCTTAGTATCTGGAATTGGAGAAATGGAGAAATATAGGGCCGTATTCTGGTCATCATCTCTCGTCTCTCACAAGCCAGTTGCTGATTGGCTAATCATTTGTTTACGTCTCGTGTCTTTCCAAATGCAATTCCAGACAACTTTTTCTCTCGATGATTCTCTCATTTGTCAGACAAGTGGATAGTTGTCTTTCGTCTTAATTTCATTATATCCAATATAGATGACTGGATGCTACTCGCACTGTACAATCGAATTAGAAAATGTTCTTTATTTTGGGGAAAGAATATTTTGAGAGAGAAAATGCTTCTGATTTTTTCCAAGTGCCTACTTGGAAATGCCACTGATTCCATTTTTTTTTAATTATCCTATATCAATTACTGAACTATTGAATATGATGTTAATCTTACTTAGATAGTTAAGGAGAAGTTAGATGGCAATATTTTGAAAAATATCTAAATACTCATGCTTTTCCAACTTAGGTTATTAAAATTTTTATTTGCTAAGAGACAAATTGACATATAATATAATCTGTAAAAATGCTATAAAACAAAAAGACATACATTCGTCAAAATTACGTGCTTTATTTGAACACGTGCTTTCATTGCCACATGATCTATGATTACGTACTCTGCATTTTTGAAAATTATACAATTTCATTGGTTAAAATTCTATACAGTGTTGCGCACACAGATAACCGAAAAACATGTATAATCAACCTAGTAGTATTGTGACGTCATCAATAAAGACAAGATCGTTAAAAGTGAACAGAATTGCCACTGTTTCTGAGAGATGAATTTTGTCTCTCGTTTTGACGTCATTCATCACTGAAAGAAGAGATGAGAGATAAGTGACCAGAATATGGCCCATGGTTTACTGACTTAATTTGATTCTTAAGTCAGTAAACCATATTTCTCCAATTTTAACATTCCAAACTCTGAGAAACTATTGAATTCTAATCACTATGTTAAATATCTTGATTTGAATATATTTTTCTCAAGTAATGTACTTGACAGGTTATAATAAAATAATGTAATAAGTCTTTCACTACTATATATATTCAGAATCAACATCAGACTAAAATGTTATTCATTACAATAAAATGATTAAAAGGTGTTTAGAACATTTTACTTATACTTTTTGTTAATTTTAGAAGGTTTTGCAAGTGTTTAGACATTATCTGCAACTACTTGGGGTGAAGCATAAATTTACATGGAATTTTGTTTCATGCAGTGTCTGCTGACACACACTCCTCACTACATATAAGTTACAAACACACTATAAAATAAGTCTTTTCTATAAATATATATCATTTTTAATATTAAAATATTCTTATGTACTTAAGTTAGTAAAAAATTTTCTTACTTCATTAAAAAGAAGCTGAATAATAAACATTTTTCCTTCATAATTAATTTTCTGAATATCCTGCCTGAAAAATATTTTAAAATAGCATTTAAATATCTTTTTTGACAACTGAATAAATTCTAACTACTAATAACAATTTAAGAAATTATGTTTATAAGGTTAATAAATATAGATTTATTAGTGCATATAAAACATGAAATTCAAATTGTTTATTGTTACTGAAATATTAAGAATAATTTTTTTGGTTTAAAAAAAAAAAAATTACAACCAAAACACATTAAAGCTAAGAATTTAATTTATAATTCATATTGTCTAATAAATATATACATTCAATATAACTTCTAATAAGAAAAATTAGGAGGGGAATAAGTAGATGCTTGAAATTTATCAAGAAATGTTTTTAAAACTTAATTAAAAGATTAAATGTTTTGAATATTAATGTAATGTTTGCCATATATCATTACTTCCATAATATGGCACTAAAATAGATCTGTTATTGATTATTAGACAGCTGCCAAGACTTCTGATTTAGTCTATAATTTTAACTATATGTTTTATCTATTTTAATACTTTCTTACAAAAAACAAATGCTTCTGTTATGTTCAGTTAAAATCAGTTTGAGTCATCGTGATAAAGTTCATGCAATTTTTTCTATACATGAGTCCATATTTTCATGTATCAGTTTTATCCAATGATATGCACTGTACTTTTTGGACCATAAAAAGTTTTACATTTTTCTTATGGTAAAAAGAAATGTTTTTCATTTTGTTTTATTAATTATATATTAAAATATCAGCATCAAAATTATATAAGCTAACAACTGAAAAAGTTGAAGCTTTAATAGAGATGTCTAGTATATAAAGACGTAACACGTGAAAAAACTTGGTCTTTTGGCGTTAATCAATATTATAGTGCAAATAAAATTCTTTAATAAGTTTCAAATTCATTAATTTTCTACAAATTTTTAGTCGTAGAAAATTAAAAAATTTGATTTTCAAAATTCTGTACCATAAGTTAATAAAAGAATTAAACAGGAGTTTAATGTAAAAAACTGTAGTTCTATTTACTTCCATTTTTGAGAATTTTTAGAAAAGATTTTCCCATAGAAAAAGCATTAAATTTTGAATGCCACCTACTGAAGATCGTGTGCATAACCAGAGGTTACAGTCAACCTTAAATATTTTCTTCAAAAATTAATGTTAAATTTATCAATTAAAACAGGGCTGTCCAACTGGCGGCCCGCGGGCCGTATACGGCCCGCCAAATAATTTTTACGGCCCCCGAGTACATTTTACTATGAATAAATTTATGTTACTAAATTATTATTATTAATATTAAAATTATTTTACTATGTGAAAATTTAAATCTAATTTGAATTTAAAGTAGGTACTATTTAGTTTGCATAACTTCACTTAACCTGGCTGAATACAGCAGCAACCTTCTTGGCCCCCGAAATGTTTGGTGAAGAAAATATGGCCCGCGGGCTATGATAAGTTGGACAGCGCTGAATTAAAATATAAAATAATTACCATTTAAAATGATGAGTTTTTCTACTTCCTTGAAATGTCAAAATTCCTGCATGATTAATACCAAGGTACAGTTGATTTCCTTTATGATCCTAATAAATTAAAAAACCAAAAAGTTAAATGAATTAAATACACAAGATATTTAAAAGTGACTATGTTGAAATTAGAAACACTTAAAAAACTTTTCATACTGGCATAATGATATAAACATTGTTATATGAATTTATTCAAATATTTTTCATTCAGGCTCATATAATAGATAAATAGATAATAAATGTGCAAGAATGGATTTTTGTAGTAACAGACAAGATAAAAGGCATAAAATATAATGAAATTTGAGAGAATGTATAAACAGGCCCTATCAACAAAGCTATTTGTGAATTAGTAAACAAATTTGTGAGGACTGGATCTGTTCTTATGAAAGAATAGTGTCCAAGATCTGACAAAACTATTGAATCTGTTCAAGAAGCATTTAAATAAGCTCTGAAAAGTTTCTCTATGTATCTGGAGATGAAATTGTTTTTACACCTCAGGCTATGAGAAGAATTTGTATAGCAAAACCAACTTCCCCTTGGCCGATTTCATCTTCAATATATTGAGCTGATTTTCGCCACTCATGTTTAAAGAGTTAAAGAGGATCCACAATTATAGATTCAGAAAGCATCCTACAAATTTGTAATTTCACAAACGGTTTACAGAATTCTACATTTTGGTTAAAAAAATAAAATAACCATTTTCATACTGGCATAATTAATTGCTGGTAGAATCATCCATCACACTATTTTCAACACTCATGAAAGAACAATTCAAATCAAGAAGGAATAATAATATGAATGATAAATGAAAATGCCATCCTCAGGCATTTTCATTTATCATTCAAACTCGAACGAATGGTTCCATTTTGGAATGATAAATGAAAACCTGAGGATGGCCTATCCAAATAGACTGAAAACATTTGAATAAAGACAAAAAACTCGGCAAATAGAATTCAGGTGTGTTCATATTATTATAATTAATATTGCTGAGAGGGAGAGCGATAGTTTCAAGAAGGAATAGAAAAGATAACATTATCACATGTCTTGTACAAGTAATGAGAAGATTAGCCACATAAAACAGCAATGTATGCCAATCTTTTCATATTGAAAGTCCAATTCTACTTAATTAAAATAATTTAGTAAAAAGGTTACTTTCCATATGTATGGAAAAGTCAAATAAATTTCTTGAGTGGGGAAAAAACACCAAAAGTGAATGTGTGGCTTGGTATGAATAAGGTTATGTCCCTCTTAGAGCCAATATGGAGGAAAGAGTAAAAAAAAAGTCAAACTTTAAACTAAGTGAAATATTATGCATATTTATGGTAAACTTTCTAAGTATTTAGTTGATTCATTTCTGTTTAGAATATGTTTCATATAATAATGGTTCATTTTGTGCACATTCTGAAATGTTACAAAAAGGTATTGTTGCAAACATAATTTGGTAATTATAATTAAAGAGGTGCCTGAAAACAGAATTATTAATTATGAATTTTTAGTTAGTTAATTGTATTTGCTAATTGTGTGAAATTCTCATTGTTCAAATGTATTAGAGATATCACACCTGAATAAATGAAAACAAATATATTTTAATATGGATTTGGACTCTCTCCAACTCTCAAAATACTGAGTTTTACCTAATTTTTCCATACCCTTATCATCTGATTGCCTTACTGTGGGCCTGGCGGAACCCACAATATGGCAGCTGGATAATGAGGAATAGGACCAAACTTATCTAGAGCAGACTTCCCGAGAATCCAATCTATGTACTCAGAACAGCATGCTGACACCTTAGCCATTCAGCCATCAAGCTTCTGACTTTGCAATCACATTGAAGAATTCTTCGATAGAATAGAATGCTTGTATAAAAAATATCAGCCAAATAAATAAATAAATAATGAAAAATATTTTTGCAATTTTATGGAAATTGCCAATTTATTTATAAAAGTATTACATTCAAAAGTTTAAATATTAAATGTTAAGTTATTATCAATTACAGGGGGGGCGCTTCTGTCTGCCGAAGCTGCTGGCGTGTTTTTTACTCACTTCAAATACAGGTAAAGAATGTATCCTGTCAATTAATTTTACGTTAAAATTTTACTGTTTGTGCTGTGTGTTAACTTTATAATTGTTGGAAAATCTATCAACATAATTAATATGCAACGCTCGCCAATTAAAAGAGGAAGACCACCACTTCAAAAGTCAAAATCAACTAGTAGAAAGGAATCTGCTTCGACCACTAATTCCAGGTTAATTACTGACTATAATTTACATGTCGAAAGTACTTCTCCTGAACCATCCTCTGTAAACGCAGGTTTGAACCCTGAAACTACACTTCTAAGTTCACAACTATCAGGTGAGCCATTCGATTTTTTATCTTCTTCACCAGGAAAAAATTCATCTGATATATCAAGTATCACATTATGGAATAAAATTTCTGAATTAATTAATGTCTCTAATACGAGAATATTAAATCAAATGACTATTATTAAAGAAGATCTGAACCAGATTCGTAATAGTATCCAAGAAACTAAAGACCAGAATCAAAAAATGAATAGCCAAATAATTAATCTTGAACAACAAATTGTTAATTTGAAAATAGAAAATGAAAGTATGCAATATCGAATGGACAATATGGTTAATGTGCAACATCGCAATAATATAATGTTATATAGATATCCCAGTAAAACTAGTCCTTCCAAGCTAGAAGTGTTTAATCTTATTAAAGAATCATTAGAATTACTTGAAGTTACAATGGATGACTTAATAGCGATTATTCCAACAACTAAATCACAGTATCCAACAATTAAATTAATTATTAAAAATACTCAAATAAGAGATTACATATATTCGAGATTTATAAAAATGAAACAGCAGAATCTATCGAACGTATGGAAAGAAACTCAAATTTCACAGGACCTTATAAAAAGATCTAGATTAAGACGTAAAAAATTAATTCCTTTTTTAAATGAGTTAAGGAAAGCAGGTAAATATCCAAAACTCCGAGGTGATACTATATTGTTGGGCAATTATTCTTTGACGTATAGCTATGTGTTGGAGGGACTGGTATACTTGGATTCTTTTACCCCGTATTTTACTTCTGAGAATACTCCGCAATGACATATGATCAATTTAAACACTCCTATTCAAGACTTACGTTTTGTGGAGACTCAATTATTAAGTCCCTTGCCTGTTGCACATAACAATAATGAAAGTTTATATGATATTACGTTCAATCAAAAAGTCTCCCATTTATAATTAATTGGAATTCCCAAGGTCTTAAGTAATGTCAAACAGAATAAAATGGGTCATGACCTTTTTAAAATTAACAACTCAAGCTCAACTATATATTTTTTAATAGCAGAATTGAAAAGGTCTATATTTCTGCATTTACTTGTGTATTTACTTCGGGAAGTTCTACAATTGATCTGTTTATATGTTTAGAATTTTTTTGGTAGATTTATGTTCAGAAATTTAGTTCTAAATAGTGACTTATCGGACAATTTTCCGGTTAGTTCTTACTTTGGATTGAAAGTTTCGTATCGTATTAATTATAATATACTGAAGTATCTGATAACTGACTATTAATATCAACGATATTAAGAATAAATCAGTGATAGGATGTGCTGTTTACTGGCTGAGAGATTAACCGAAGATATCGAAAAATATACTAAGTTTGTAAATATAATAAAAGAATATGTTAAAACAAGATAGAATAGAAATTCGAAATTACTAAGATCAAAAAACCATGGTATGTTTCGGATTATATGAATTTAAAAATGAAAATAACTAAAGCATTACTCCAGTTTAAAAAAAAATTATTTACATCATTTATCAACTCGTAAATTAAAAACGAAAACAGCTCTTGGAATGGATACAACTACCACTAAATTTATTAAACTTTTTCTGCCAGCGGATAGGCAATTTCTACTTGATCTTTATAACCATTTTCATAAAACATTTATTATATTCTCACTGAGTGTCCAAAGCTTGAGGAAGCGCAATGTAAATCCAAATTAAAAGAGATTTTTGATTTAAGTTAAGAAGAAAATTTCAGAACCAATTTAGAAAAGAATTCCATTATGTAAGATGCATAATATTCATAACTTTTTTGTTCATATTTTAAAGAATTTAAATATGATATGTAGACTGAATGATTAATATGTTATGTTTAGCAAATTTTATGTAACAAGATATTTAAAAATTAATATCTATATACTAATTAATATTTACTCAACATTAAAAAATCAGGTTTTGGAATAAACAAACAATAATTAAATGTTTAAATTAGCCTGAATAAAAACAACACTTTAGCCTAAAAAAAAGGAAAGAAATTTGGCTGAAAACGTTCCTAATAAATTCTTATTTTTGGCTTCTTTAACAAGCAGTTTAAATTTTCTTTTTAAATAACATTTTAGTATTAAAAAAAAAACTAACCTTAATTGGATGAGGATCCACACCATAAGTATCCAACAGACATGCCTTTCGCAAAAAATTCATTTCAGCAACAGCTGGAACTTGACCTCTAATAAATTTTAGAAACAGAAATAAACAAAAATTAATGTTTATCAAGTAATAGTTAAATATATTTTTTAATTCTCAAACTGATGTTTAAAAAAGTTACAGGACAGACAATAAACATTGTTATAAGATCATTTACATGTTGAAAATTAAACAATAGACAATAAAGTTAGGAAGGCTAAGATGTAAAAGATGAGAGAGAAAAAAGAGTTATGGTATAAGATGAGAGAAAATTCCAAATAAAGATATTTTTGATAATATCACTGGACAACAATGATTTTGTTTCGGGCTCAAAATTAGCATATTCTTATGTATTTCCATCTGCTGAATTCAAAAATCACTATAAAAATGACCGATTAGATCTTGCTTTGGAGCAGCAGTTCCCAACCAGTGGTTTGCAAGAGCTAAAATATGGTCCGCAAAAGATTTAAAACTTTTATTCATTTTAAATTATAATTTAAAATAATTGACATAATCTAAATAATACAAAATATATGAGAAAGGTTTTATAGTAAAATTTGTAAAAAAATGTTTAATTACAAAATACAGTTGACCCCTCTATAACACTGTTGATTATTCCATTTTATATGAATTCCATGTACGAGTCACTTAGATTTTACAAATACGTGTGCCAGGCTGTGAACGGCTTACGTATTTGTAAAATCTAAGTGACTCGTACATGGAATTCATATAAAACGGAATAATCAACTGTGTTATGGGGGGTTGACTTTGTAGTGCATCTTCAATTATTTCAAATTTTCATTGGTGTTTTTCCTGTATAACTCCTCAGATCAGTATATAATAAAACTACACTCTATTATAGAATATATATTTATGCAAACACGACAGCCCTCCTTGACTCAATCAATTATGCTGAGCACAAGTGGAAAATATGTGGTGATCTAAAAGTCATTGCTGTACTTTTAGGAATGCAACTGGGGTACACTAAATACTGTTGCTTTTTATGTACATGGAACAGTAGGATAGGAAATCACATTACATTCAAGCGGACTGGCCTGCAAGAAATCTAGACTCTACCGAGAAAAATATCATTGCCGAGCCTCTTATGGACACAAAAGATGTTCTTTTTCCACCCCTTCATATCAAGCTGAATTTAATGAAAACTTTTGTCAAGGGTATGAACTAGAAAGGACAGGCATTTAAGTACTTAAGAGACAAATATCCTAGATTGAGTGATGCAAAGGTTAAGGAAGGTATTTTTGTTGGTCTACAAATTCGAAAACTTGTAAAGGATCCCGCGTTTGACCAAGTTTTGGAGGGAAAAGAAAAGGAAGCTTGGGAAGCCTTAAAGGGAGTTATTCGTGGATTCTTAGGCAACAAAAGAAACAATAACTACACTCAGTTGGTGACAATACTTCTGGAAAAATATCATCAACCCGGATGCAACATGTTCCTCAAAATCCATTTTTTCCATTCCCACCTAGACTTTTTCCCTCCTAGTTGTGGAGCTGTCAGTGATTAACATGGGGAAAGATTCCACCAGGTATTTCTGTATTGGAACAAAGACATCAGGGCCATTGGAATGAAGCAATGCTTGCGGATTACTGCTGGTCTGTGTGTAGGGATGCACCAGAACTCACTCACAAGAGGCAAGCCAAAAGAAAACAATGAAGTCACCACATAATTCTCTTCACACCAAACCACCTGCCAGGTATTCTTCTATTAATTCAGAACTCTTTAGAATGTTACTGTAATTTTAAAAAATTTCAAAAATACTTTCAATGTTGTTAGCATATGTAATTAAAATGTATCGTTTTCTCTTATGCTGTTAAAATCACCTATTGTATACCACAGAAACTAGAGCTAATAAAAATTTTTCTTTGTCACATTCAATTTTCTCAATCCAAAATTAGTAAGATTTCACTCATGAAATAAAGGAAACATTCAAAAACATTTTTTTTGTTGTCCAGTGTATTTTATTACATTAACTGATAATTATAAATGAAAAGATTAAAATTAAAAGTTTCAAATAAGTTATAGTCACATTAGTCAAATGGTTTAATGAAAATTATATACATAATATAATATTGATAACAAAAGATTGTATCTACTTTATTAGCTATAAATGCTAAGAAAATTTACAATAAACAAAACTTTTTATTTAAAATAATCAAAAAGTTTTGTTTATTGTAAATCAAAGACTTTACTAGATTCTATTAGCAAAGAAATTTTTTATCGTCTTTTTTCTTTTATAAATTCGCTCAAAATCATAAAGATTTACCAAATTCAAGTTATGAATATGAAATAAAAACTATATTCAAAATTTTGGATTAAGATTGTGAAATATATGACAGAAGAAACAAAAGCAAAAGTCTTATGGATGCATTACATACAGTCAAACTCTAAGGAGCTGTTCATATATTATGTCTGCATTTTTCTTGAAATTTTTACTCCCCCTCTTGTCCCAGTTTGTCCAAGTTTCCGTAACTCCCCTCTTTGAATGTCCAACAAAACTCGACCCCCCCTTAAAACTTTTATCACTTTATGAATGATAGATTGCATAAGTAGAAACGAAACATACAAAAAAGTTTGAAATAAATATAATAAGATGCTTAAACAGTATAAATTTTAATGAAATAAACAGACGTCCTCTGATTTAGGTTTGATTATCCAGCTTATTAAAGTTGCTTTACCAGACAATGCACCTTTTGCCAGTTTAGTGGAAACCCACCAGATCCAGTGAGAATATCAAAATAAGGGTAATAGCTAATAATAATGATAATTAAAATGTTTTATAAAAAAAATTGACTAAGTTTCCCTTTAGTAAAAACAATAAGACTATTATATACTGTATATGCAGTTAATTAATAAAAAGATAGTAAATAAATTGCAAAATACATACCGTAATTGTGTTTGATGTATTTCAATAATTTTTTCTTCAAGTCTAGGTGTCTGTTTTAAAAGTAATTTAAATTCAGAAACATAGTTTCCGACATGATATTCTGGTTCATAATCACCCAATTCAGCTGGAAATTTAATTTTAAGAATTAAATTAAATTAGCTAAATTAATTTTTAAAAAATCAATTTTAAACTTACATTGTATAATGTATGCAGCAAGAAGTGCTGCATCTGTTTGAGAACAATATAATCGGCCATGAAGCAGATCTCTTCGAAGCTGGAGAAATATTTGATACCTGAAGTAACAAACAATAACAAAAGGTCTATGTAATAACCAAATATAGAATAATGAAAGAAGGTTAAGGTTATTGTTTCAATAGGCAATATGAAAGAATTTATACTCTTTAAATTCCATACATTCTTTATTTCAAAAAATGATAAAATTTCATGTTTTTCATTTGTTTTTTAAATGCATCATAATAAAATATGAAAGATTTTTTTGAATTTATAGGCAACTGTCAACAATAGAAAGGATTTATCATTTATATATACAAAGACTTATAATAAAATAATTCAAAGTTTATCATACTTAAATAACACTAAAGCAAATATCTCAAATAATAATTATCCTTTATTATTAAAAAATAATAATATAATAAAACTACACTCTATTATAGAATATATATTTATGCAAACATGACAGCCCTCCTTGACTCAATCAATTATGCTGAGCACAAGTGGAAAATATGTGGCGATCTAAAAGTCATCGCTGTACTGTAGGAATGCACTGGGGTACACTAAATATTNGATGGCCAGTTGAAGCCAATGAAAACAAAATAAAGGTACTGATTGAAGCAAACTGCCGAATAACAACACATGAAATCACTAAGAGATTAAATTTGTCAAATTGAACTGTTTATGATTACAGTAGAGCGTCATTTATCTGAATCAATTGGGGACTGGGATTGTTTGGATAACTTATTTTTCGGATAACTGATTATGTACGAAAAATATATTAACCTATTCCATGTTGAAATTTTTTGCCGTTGTGTGTTGCTTCGCATTGAATTTTTGTCGATGTTAAGCCTAACGTAAATTTTTTAAAATAATAATCGTGGCTATTGTATCGTTAAAAATTATTTATTTTGTACAAACAAAATAAATATATTGAAAAATATAAAAACAAAAAAATTATATTTTGGAAGTTAATCTAGTATCAAAAACGTTCAATTCAGCACAACACAGTCCGACTGGAACGCTTTTGATGTTTCAATTGATTGGCTTTTGGATAAACAACACTCTACTGTATTACTTTTACTCTGATTTAGATTTTAAATAGGAGTTTTTAAAGTAAAATTTCTTACTTTAATAAAATAAGTTAAAAGAAAGTTGTTAAATATGAGAAAAAAACTCTTTCATGTTCTTTACATATTATTTTATTTTATTATTTTATATCTTATCCTTTTTTCCTGCATAAAAACCACCAACTTAAGGAATTTTACAACTGCTATTACTTAAAAATAATTTTAAATTAATTGTAATTGTAAATGATTAACATTTACTATTTAAATGTGTAATTCTGGAAAATTGAAAGTTTTAAATTTTGCAGTACTTTATGACAAATATTTTTTATTCCATAAGTTCAATAACAATTTAAGACATTTTTAAAATGCAAAAGTTATCACTAAAAGTTAAACATTATCATTATTTTTGTTATATAAATACTACTATTTAAAAATTTTACAGAAATAGGTACCTGATAATACACTATTAATAACACAAGTTTTCGTCTATGTTGCTCAATAGTTACATCAATTCAAATGGATTTTGCTGATAACAAGCACTTAAAGTCTATTTTAATATTACATTACAATGCAGTATAAAAAAATAACTATAGTATAAGCAAAGTAACATGAAAATAGAATTGTCAAACATTGTCTATTTTGTGTCTTAAAATTAAATTGATTTGAATTCAATTAAATTTTAAGACTGAACAATAACAACACACTCTATTCACTAGAAACTTTCTTACACCAAACCTATTAATATTCCAACATACAAATTCAACCTAATTTTAGCTATATTAATATGTTGTTGTATTAAAGTATTATTTTGTTATGTTTCATATTAACTTAATTAAACAAAAACTTAACTTTTAAATTAAAAAATTTTGACAAATAAGTTTTTAAATTTGCAACTTTAATGTGTCATTTAATTTTAAATTTTATAAATTGTTCAAACTTTGTTCTACCTCTTTTTTATATTAATCTGTGAAAATTCTATAACAAAAAATGAAAACATTCATTTGTTTCCAAGTTTTTAATTTGATTTTTGATGATGTTTTGTACATAATCTATTATTTTAATAATACTGAAATGATAATTGTAAAAAGTGTGTGTAATAAATTAAGAGTATATGATATTTGCATAATTATTTTCTTGTTAATCATATTTAACAATCATGATTTTAAATAATGCTTATTTTAACTTTTATTATAAAAATCTTTATAATATTGTCCTCAATATTGCAATGTCTTTTTATACAGACACATCAATAAATTAATCCTCATAAATATAAATACTTAATAATTTATTCATTTGTGTATTTGTTACTTATACAGGGTGTATCAGAACGATGTTTTAAAAATTTGGAGGATTGTAGAGGATGAAATTTTGAATGTTTTGATATAAGGAATCCATAGCCGGAAATGTGATATAAAGTTTCTACAGCAGTAGGAAGTGCTTGACCATCCTTCACTTTGGTAGCTACCCTTCCATCCACTGACGTCATGTTATTGTTCTTGACTTCTTCCTCTAAAGTTATGTAAAGTCCCTTGTGCACGCAACAGTTCAGGAGCTTACAGAGCGCATCTTTACAGCATTTAATACCATCAGAGGAGAGCGTGGCACCTTACAGAGAGTCAAACAAAACATGGTTCGTCGTTGCACATTATGTAACGAAGTTGGTGGTCGTCACATCGAACATTTACTCTAAAGTAGTGCAGCCACTGATTCGATGTACAGTTTGATTGTACTCTATTGTTTTGTCAATAAAACTTGTCATAAATACTGTATTCTGCTGTTTCATTCAGCATACCAATTGCAAAGTGCAAAGTGCTGTAAAAACTTTATATCACATTTCCGGCTATGGGTTCCTTATATCAAAATGTGCAAAATTTCATCCTCTACAATTCCCCAAATTTTTAAAATGTAATTCTGATACACTCTGTATAGTTAAAACAGCAATCAAACAAAAATATATTTTATATGCAATTTCAAACAAATAAATTTGAATCATTTTATATTAATAAAAAAAAAAAAACAAATTTTTAATCTTACTATTCTATTCTCAAAAATATAAAAAATTTCATTCAGGAAAATATAAATTTTTTATTAGATATTATTTTTAAAGTTTCAATTCTAATGTTTATTTGCCAAAAGAAAAAATACCTTGTAATTTCTTCTCTTAAACGATATGGATCTGCAGGATAAAATTTTGCTCTAAAGCAAAATATGATTGGATTCATGCCTAAATAATTAATAAATAAGTATTTATTAATAAAAGTAATATAAATTATTAATTTAATTGCTAAACTTTACTAAAAATTGAAACTTTTTAACACAGAAATAATGCTAGAATTTTAATTTTTATTATCAATTTTAAATTTTTTAAATTAAGTTTAATATGATATTTAAGCAGGTTTGCATCTTTAAGATAAAATATAATTTATACAAATGATTAATTCTGAATTTAAATATCTTTGTTTTTACACATATTACATTAATGGCTAGGGCACATTAGTATTGTTTAGATTTTTTTATTGTTTCTAAAATAATTTATCATCATTCTATATACATTTTGAGTCTGCATTGTGTTCAATAGACCATGTTATTTTTCTGTTATTTTAACCAAATCATAACCATTCAGGAATAAACCAAAGTAATGAGAGGATGAAGTTTGTCCAAGTTTACAAAAATCTGAATTAGTGAAATGTTTTTTCTGATGATGTGGAAAACAAGAATGTGGCTATACAGTACAGTAATTTATTATGATAAACTATGTACAGAAGTTTTACTTAGCTTTACTCAGTAAAGCTTCTGTACAGTAATAGGTTATATTGCTAAATGTATTATTACAGGAAATAAATTTAGAAAATTTTATGACAATATAGTGTATGGCAATGTATAGTCTTTAGTAACTTACTGACTACAGTAATATAATTCACAGTATCACAAAGCCTTCCAGATATCAAAATACACATTAATTATAATTATTCATTAATATATATATAAACAAGTCCATAAATTCAATTTTGATTAAAGTCAGATGATCTGCCAAATTATCAGGCCATAATAAGGTTAAGTTAATAATTAGATACAAAGTAATACCTCCTACTACTACTACACAAATTACTTTGCATATAATTATTAACTTAGCCTTATTATAGCCTGATAATTCAGCAGATTGTCTAGCTTTAATTACTCATCTATATATATAAAAATGAATGTATGTCTGTCTGTGTGTCCTATGTCCTTCATGCATTACCACACCGTTTATCCGATTGCCATGAAACTTTGGGAAGTTGTTTAATATACTCCGGCGAAGGTTTGTGGCATAGTACGATTGCCATGAAACTTCGGGAAGTTTTTTAATACACTCCCGCGAAGTACATTTATCCTACGATAGATGGCGCGCGTTTACACGAGCATTCGCGCATAGTGTGTTTGATCGATTTCAAATTGTGAAGACCATTTCCCCCCTTCAAAAATATATATGTCTCTATATATGCATTTGTGAACTGTTATTTACGATATTTGTAATCATTTTTGTTTAATCACTTTATTTCGACTTTTTTTGCTAATTATGTTTTCGCTCGAACTTCGTTAAAATCTTAACTGTACCCCGAACAACGACCGAAGTTGTAGGAAGAAATTCGCCTATTTTACCGATCTAGGTATCGCCCTTTTTCAAATTTTAATATCGACTCGAAATAATTTAAAAAGACAAATTACAATAAAACGGTTTATTATCTAACTATCAGAAATTTCCCAACATGCCAAGGAAGAGAGGAAGGAGCAATTAAATAATTAAAATTATAAAGGATTTAAAAATATATATATAAATGGGGAATATCGCGCTTTTGACAATCGCTGCAAGTGTGTGGGCTAAATTTGGAGAATCCGTGCTTCTCGCATGGACAACTGTATGTGGCCAGCTCACGCGTCGGAAAACCTTCCGAATTATTCGTGTACGCACCAGACGAAAAAACAAAAAATATCGTGTATCCACGAGCACTCCAATAAATAAATAGAATTGAAACGACACTTTGAAATGTTTTCCCGATGAAAACGAATAATAATAATATATTTCAATAAAAATGATAAAATGAAAATTTAATTTTATTATAACGAGTTTGCTTGAATTTCATCTCTTCTGAGATCGCAGCAATGCGCGACGGGTAAGCTAGTTAATTATAATTTTTCTATTGTCAAGAAATTTTATATTACTGTACAACTTTTAAAAAATTTGTCTGAGTTATGCAAAATCAAAATTGACAAGAGTTTACTATATTTGACCTATGTCTTTGTCCTCCCACTTCATGTGAGTTGTTTTGTTCTTGATGGTGGTTCAATTAAGTCACATTGATGAGTACCATTCTCAAACTTTCTTGAAGAAAAAACAAAGAAAATTGTAAGGGAAATTAGAGAAAAATATTATCTACAAAACCTGCATAAAAGTATAAATATGAACCACCAAATAAGAGCATTGGTCTTTTCTTCTTGTGCATATGTTGAGTGATTCAAGACTTATGATGTTTAGGAAAAGGTGTAGGAGAAGAAGAAATATTTGACAAGACAGAGAAGACTTTCATGTATAATTGGAAAAAAAAATTTCAAGAAGAAACTCTGACAGTTCAAGTGCTAAAAGAATGAACCTGACCTGGTCATTAATATATATGAACTCATGAATATCAGATACTTGGTTACCAGTGCAGACTGTAAATTTGACTAATATTGGTTAGCAATTTTTTTGTTTACTGGTAAAATTGTTCATTCAGAGATACTATGACTCTTGCAACTTGTAACACTATTTGATTAATAAACTTTGCTTCCCTGAAGTCTTTGTCTGACTACCTACTTACACTATTATGCAGTTTAGAGTTATTGTAACATTCTTGTTCTCATTCTTCCCAGATTATTGTCTGTTAATCACAGCATACCAATTTTCATAAAAAATCAGAATAGTAATGACATTTTATTACATTGTTTGAAACTAGTTTATATACAGAATTGTTTCAATCCAGTAGAAAAATTTGTTCTAAACAAAATGTATTAATAATTCTTCTGGTTCTTATTTCCACAGAATGTTTGTTTTTCTACATTTTAAAAATAATAAACAATCTATTTAATTTTTTCATATAAATTAGCAGGAGCATTAAAAACTTTCAAAAATGAAAGTCTAAAATTTTAAATATAAAATCTTTATTGCTTTCAGTATATACCATACTGAATATACATACCAGTACATACCATATCAACATACCAGATAACTATGTACTTGAAAATCAAATTATAATTTAATGTATTCTTATGTATTATTTAGGGAATTATAAATTTATAATTTCAGAAATAAATTTTAGAATCTTAATTTAGATTTTAATTTTTAAAAAGCTTATTCAATTAACATATTTAAAGTGCTGAAATAAAAATAACTGATAAAGTGTGTTTAAATAAAATTATTATATTAAGCAATAAAACAGGAAATGCTTGGAAGAATCTGCACCAATCAGATTTTGCATTCTTAATCTTAAAATAAACAAAAATTATGTAAAATTATTTCATTTAGCTGTTGTCACAAAATCTCTGCAAACTGGAAACTTGCTTAAATAAGAAACAAGTTTCACAATGAGAATTTGCTACATAAAATACTATTATAAGTCAAATGAGAAACAGAAGATTTTTTTTAAGTTACAAATTGCATAACACAACACAAATAAAGAGGAATTTTTCAATATGACATCAACTAAAATATAATAATAATAATAATAATAATAATGAATATTTTTAAAAATATGTACTATTTATGGAGGAAAAAGTCATTTGTATTAAAAATAAATACAGTAGAGCGCCGTTTATCCGAAGGAATTTCAGTCGACAAATTTAAATTTTCGCCAGTGCTGTGGCACTGTAATCTTTGGCTATGTCTTCGGCTACTCAAATATTTTACGTTTTTGATACTAAATTAACTTCTGAAGTATAATTTTTTTATTGTTTTTATATTTTTCAATATATTTATTTTGTTTGTACAAAATAAAAAAAATAATTTTTAACGATACAATAGTCTTCGTTAGGCTTAACATCGACGAAAATTCAACGCAAAGCGACACGCAACGGAGAAAAATTTCAACACGGGATAAATTAATATATTTTTTCATACATAATTGGTTATCCGAAAAATAAGTTATCTGAACAACCCCAGTCCCAATTGATTCGGATAAATGACGCTCTACTGTAACTTGATGTGTTTCCATTTTTTTGCAAGTAAAAATGATCAAACAATTACTATAAAATTTCAACTGTTTTAATATTAGTTAGAGAAAAAGAAGAAGCAATTGGCATTACCTGGAAAAATTCTTAAAACCAGCCAATATTTAGTACTATATTATATAGAAAAATTTAAAATTAATTTCTAAGAGTAATTATTCTTGTAGACAATTTAAGAGTAATTTTTAAACTGAGAGTTCAGCTTTAATCTTGAAAACTGTTAATGAATGAAGTGTTACCAATCAATGGTATGACAGAGAACATACAATTAAAACAATGGAGTTTTTACTGTAGATTTTCCCCCTATATGTGCATTCTATATATGACATTGTTCAATGTCTCTGAAACATAAAACATTTGTATTAGAGGAGAGTATAAATTGAAGGATGTTCATGTTAAAGGAGAAACAATTCTAAATAAAAGTTATAAAATTTTTCAACTTTTATCCAGTAATAAAAAATATAACTCTAAAAAGAAAACCTGCAAAATGGAAAGTTTCGGCCAGTATCATTATGATAGATTTTAGACTGTATTAAAAATGATATTTTTATTATTATAAATAATTTAATTAAGAAGTAATATTTTTGATTGTATTTTCATAAAATAAAAACATAATTAATGATTTGACAACTAATATATAGACTAAAGTAATTTAAATAAATTTGCACATCTAATAATTAATTATGAAGAAAGAACCTAGTTCCATTAGAAAAATATTCAATGTAAAGTATATTTCTGAATGTATATATAGTAAATAATTAATATATCATTTCAATACTTGTGAAGGTTCAATAATCTAGCCTTACAATCTCTCAATAATCTAATTTTAATAAAATGCATCAATAATACCATAATTGAAAAGTTCTATATAATAAGGTACCTAAGTGCATTTAGATAACTTTTTCAGTTAAGTATTTTATTATGCATTTCAAATAAGGTTTATGGATATAGATAGTCCCTTTGCTATAATAAGCACTTTACTTGTGTAAATTTAACATGTACATTTTATTAAATTCATAATATGGAAAAAAAACAGTTTTTTAAGAACTCTTGAAAACATCAAATTAAATTTTGAAATTAATTCAATAATTACAGCACTTGAATAATAAACATATTGATTTATGCACTTCTAAAAATGTTACACAGAAAAGTTTATTAAAGCAAATTTACCCATGATTTTAAAATATTTGTTACACTTTCTTATACTCGACTTAAAGTTTCTTAATATTCGTGATAATTTATGCCTAAGTTCAACTTTACAGAAAATTTGCATTTGAATGATTCTTTTATCATTTATACTAAAATCATATGAAAATACATGTAGATATTTGAATTTACTGTATTAGTAGATTTTAATAATTTTTAATAAAGACATGGTTTAGAAATGGAAAATCAGGTTTATAAACATTAACATATCTTTTATTTATATTTCTTTTTTTCGGATAGATAAAATATGACTATGAATATAAAATTAAATATTACCTTTAATTTGCTTCAAAATAGAGCGTGTAGGATCCAACCAATGCTGTAATGATAATATGTTATTATTAATGAAAATTTTTATAAATATTGATAACAAAATTATATGTTAATGTACCGTATATACAAATATCATATTACTTCATAAATTATAGACCATTAATGATAGCAGTTTCAAGTTCCTCAACTTGAAACTGGTATCATTGTATTGCTCTCATCATAGGCTTTATAGCAGGGGTGTCCAACCTTTTTGTTCTTCTGGGCCACATTGGAAGAAGTCATGACGTTTTGGGCCACAAATATATATAATATATTTGCGACCTAATCCTTAAATATACTAGTATATTTAAGGATTAACATGTATAGATTATAGTAATAAGTATTAAAACTTTATTATAAAAGAGACAAAACAAAAATTTATTTGAAAAACATAAATATTTGTTTTATTTCGGTCTCTAATTAATAAATAAACGACGAAACACCATTTTAAAGTGCATTTTTATTCGACTATACATTTATAAATACTATGTAGCCCAGAAAGTAGCCAATGCGTCAAATTATAATTTTTACGCCAAACTAAAAAAAAGTAGCCAAATCTTGCAATGCTGGAAGGAATACTAAATAATACTGGAGTTGTAACTCAAAGGATTATAGACCCAAATTTGAGAAAAGGAGAGAAAGGCTAAAAGATAAGAAGTAGTGAGGAAAATTGGAAAATTAAGGGTCAATATTTAAATAACAGAAGGTCTATTTAACCTTTCACACTACTTTTTATCTTTTGGCCTTTTTCTCCTTTTCTTAAATTTGGGTCTATAATTCTTTGAGTCACAACTCCAGCTTTATACTGTATAGTATTCCTTCGTCATTCACACATCTCCAAGTATTTGAAAATATTTCCTTTTCACTCAAAAATAAAATATGTATAAAAGTTTACGGCTTTGTAAAACTTCTTTTTTGAGTTTATGCCGTTGAAATAAAAAAAATAAATAAAATAAAACAATTTGTCGGTTTTGTTTACACGTTTATTGGGCCGCATTGGAACTTGCCTTGGGCCGCATGCGGCCCGCGGGCTGGACACCCCTGCTTTATAGTTTGGATGTTCTCCAGGGTGACTGGAAATTGCCCCAAACTTAACATTGTTCTTTACATACATTCTTAAAAAATAGTAATAATTAAATTAATATTCAAATTGCTGATGTAGCCATGTTTAAAACTCAAATAAAAACAATGCATTTATTGCACCAGCATTATAAATCATGTTGCAAAGGATTTCTTTAGGAGAGAGGTATTAATCCATGCCAATGATAGTCTGACAAGCAAATGCCAACACTTCCCTTGTCAGAACATCTTTATGTATTTATGTACAGGAGTGTCGATTATCCAAATCAATTGGAGACTGGGGTTGTCCGGAAAATCTATTTTTCGGATAACCGATTATGTACGAAAAAATTACATTATTAATATAGTATATAAGTATATCCCAATAATAGTATATTAACGTGTCCCATGTTTAAATTTTTCTCTGTTGTGTGTCACTTCGTGCTAAATTTTTGTTGATTTTAAGTCTAACAAAAATTTTTATAATAATAATTGTTGCTATTGTAGCATTAAAAATTATTTCTTTATTTTGTACAAACAAAATAAATATATTGAAAAATATAAAAACAAAAAAATTATACTTTAAAAGTTAATCTAGTATCAAAAACGTTCGATTCAGCATGACACAGTCCAACTGGAACACTTTCGGTTGATCAGCATTCAGATAATTGACGCTCTATAGTATATATATATAGTAGAGCATTGATTATCCGACCCCTGATTAACCATCACCTCGGTTAACCGACCGCAAATTCTAATCGGCAAATTCAAATGTCCGCTAGTGATGTGGCGCTACAATATTTGGCTATGTCTTGGCTACTTTAATATTATTTTTACGTGTTTTAGCTGGCAACATGGATCGACCATGAAAGGGAACCAGTATTTAAACGAGACTTAATTTTCTAATTTTTAACGACACAATAGCGACGATTATTATTTTTTTAAAAAATTTGATAGGCTTAACATGGAGGAAAATTCAACGCGAAGTAGGTTAATAGCAATATACTAATATACTAATTACATGGGATATAATAATATACTACACTAATAATGGATTTTTTCATACTTTTCGGTTATCTGACTTTTCAATTATCCGACCAACCCCAGTCCCCAATTGAGTCAGATAATCGATGCTCTACTGGCCAAACCCAATTTCAGGCCAAAATAGTTTATCCTATGCATGTCAGGATATACTAGTTTAGCCTAGGATAATCTAGTTTGATCTAAATACTTTGGGCTTAACTAGTTTGACCTAGGCCAAACTGATTTATGTACTACAAATAGGTGCCAGTGTAAAAAAAATTTTGTGTAATTCAAAATGCCACCACAGTACACCCGGTGGTTAAAGTGTACCTAGGTAACCCCAATGGCGGTGCTTCGGTTAGGTTGGTTTGGTTAGGTTAACTACATTTTTAGTAGACGTTTTCTTTTTTTTTCTTTTGTTCAAGAACTACCATGAATCAATAACTAGTGACATTAAACAATGGGCGGCTGCCAACAGCTCCCCTCTGGGAGGAGTCTGCCGGGAGCACAAACAGTCTGAAGTGCAGCCATTGGGGTTACCTAGGTACACTTTAACTCACCCTGTAAAAATAAATAAAAGATTAAATATTTTACATGTTACACTAAGAAACACAAACAAGTTCATTTTTAATTTTAGTTTGACTTTAAAAGTTGTTTTTATTATTTCATTTGAATTTTTGAAAATATTTTCGAAAGTTAATTACCTTTAAAATTTCTTGGCTTAATAAAAAAAAATACAAACTGATAAGTACTGATTAGCTGATTTTTATTTTATAGTTTCGTACAAGTGTTGTGTCACTTCTAATCAATACCATTTTTTATAATTAAGTAGACTATGTTTGAATAAATAATGTTCATCTAATTGATTGCCTTTTAATTTTATTTTAACCATTAATATACTTAAATCAGGCTTGGCCAACCCGTGGCCCGTCACATTAAATTGTGTGGCATGCTAAGCGACATTATATATCTATTAAAACTTTCGTTTTCCGTTTCGTGTATACCAAAACAATTAAATAAATGAAAATTTGCATGTATCGTCGTTATAATGTGCAGGTGCAAGTACGAACTCTTGATATAACAATGAAATCTTATTCATTTTGTATTTGTTTTACTTTTTTAAAAGCATGTTTGCCTAAATTGTGGCCCATTGTAATGTTACGCATNTGTTTTACTTATATACAGTATTATATTTTTGATTCAATTATAATATATGTGATGTGTGTGTATAAATGATGTGTATGTGTACATATATATATACATACATATACACACATCATTTCTAATCCAAATTAGTCATATAATAGCCCAATAATTTGGCAGATTGTGTTTAAATAGTCCATCTTTACTTTGTCAATGCATAAGCATTTCAGGGAACTTTCTCTAAACTCTGTTATATCAATTATCCAAACAAAAACATCTGAGATGTAAAAAAATTACACCATGTAAAAATTTATGACAATTTAGATGGCAGTCAAAATTTTTCTTAGCAGTTTATCTTCAGTAAAAATAAGCTTGGTGTTTGGAGGTGAAATATGAACAATAATACAAGTAAAAACCTTGTGGGTACTGCTTCCAAGTGTCAAACTTATCTTTATCAAAGAAAAACTGCTAAGAAAAATTTTAACCATCATCTAAACTGTCATAAATTTTTACTTGGTGTAATTTTTTTACATCTCAGATGTTTTTGTTTGGATATCAATTGTTTTTGTTTAATAATTGTATTATTACAATGATGTACAATTCAGTTAATGCTTGGCAACTTAACACACCACTGACCAAATGCAGTGCCAACCAAACACTTTCAATATTCATTTTGGTTGGCTCCAACCGAATGCATCGTTGACCAACACACTGCCAACTGAATGTGCCACCAACCAATGCTTTTGATACTCCATTATATTTTGGCAACTGCATTAAGAAAATCTTTAAACTTTGCACACTATCTAAGAAAACAATTTTATTTTGAATGAGATATTCAGAATTACTTCAAGTGTTTTGGGGCAGAGAAATCAATCCCCGAAAATTGGAAACTTTCCATATATGTAGTCAATCACTGATTTTTTTACTTGGTGGGCATGGCAGTGACTTGTGATAAAACTGTAATGATAAATAAAAAAAATATGTCTCAGTGACCATACTGAAGAGGGAAAGAAAGTTTCCAAAAACATGCCTATGTCATTGGTCGTATAAAAGATGGTTTGACAAGGAAAGCATTGGTATGGATTAAGTTTTCCTCCTGAGAAATAATTTTTAACATTGAAATTACAATGGAATTTCAACATATGATTATTAAGCATGTAAAATTTTAAAAAGTCCTCCATTTTCTTCCAAGTCATCTTATATACGTATTTCAGAAGATAAACACTAATTTTTTATAAATGATATTAATCTTGCTGATATATGGAAAGTACAATACAGTATTTTAAAGTAACTTATTTTTAAATTAAGATTATTTGCACTCTTGAGAAATAATACACTTAATATTTTTAAAATAAGAATATTCTATAAAATTTATCCTATTTTTCAATAAAATTAAATTTTAATTTTTTCCTCCCTTTTATAGTTATTCATTTTATCTAAACAAAAATGATTTGATTGTTGTACTATTATAAAACTTTTTCTTCAAGATCATGAATGTATACTATAAATTTTCTATTTTATTATTTTAAACAATAATTTACTTACACGTTGCTTGTGTGAATCAACATAGCGCAATCCAAAATAATCTTTCTCAACAAGATTAAGGGCATTACATACATAGTCCAAAAGGTATTGTCCTTTGTGCTCATTCTATAAAAAAAAATTATTATTATTTTCCATGATTTACACAGACTTTTGTTTACTTTTAAATTAATTTAATTTCAAGATTAAAAAAAACCTAAAATATATTACCATATGCAAACATCATGAATCAAGTTTTACCATTTAAGAGTTCATTACTAATTAAATTACTGGATGTTTCAAAAATAGCTTTACAACTTGAGGGCAAGATATTAGTGAACTGATAGAAGAAACCTATAATTTTAGAACATTGATATGTAATCCAATGTGACTTCCATTTATTACATGGCAGACATCCCATCTATAGTCAACTTCTTCTTACATACAGTGTCACTTCCCAGTGTCACTTGAGGTGGTAATTTGAGTTTGGAGTTTGGCTGCACTTGCAGATTAGAGTGGCATGTACTATACATTCAATCTTTAACAAATCTCCAAATGAAAAATTCTAAACGTGTTTTTATCCAGGGAATGAGGAGGCATGCTACTGGTTCACCCTGACCAATCTACTGTCCTGGGAATTGGTTGATCACACCGTGGTGAGATTTTTTGGTGCAAAAATTTACATAAATGAAAATTGATGTATATGGCTAAATTTGTGTATTTAAAAATATTATGCACATCCTTTGAATCAATTTTTAAACTATAAAGTAGTAAAGACAATTTTGAAACACCCTGTATTATATCATTAATTAATTATTAATAAATTTTATTTAAAAAAATAAATCTAATCTACAGGACCAGTGCTGAAAACTGCTTAGAAACAATACAGAAGCAGAACAAGTAATTTTACATCTACTGAAAGCATCTTCAGATATAAACCATTTCAAGCAGAAATAAAATTACTTGTTTTACTTATATACAGTATTATATTTTTGATTCAATTTTCAATATTGATCGTACATATTTATTTTAGTTTTATCAAAATGCAGCATGAACATTTCATTCTATACATTTATTATATATTTTTGTTTATATAAATAAATATATTGAATAAACTCTTTATAAACAAAATATTAGGTTTTTGTTGTTATGAAATATAACAAAATATAAATCTATCTATAAACAAAAAAACTTTTTATATGATTTTCAAAAGTTACAGTTAAAAATAATATAGTCAATAAATCTCTAATACCTTATCTATTGTAAAATACAGATATAATAAACTGTTTTAAATATCAACAGAAATAACAGAAGAATGTATGGCATTAAATATTCTTACTTCAATAAAAGAAGTGAACTCAATTGAATCCATAGTATTATAATGTCTTGTTTACTCAAAAGACTATACTGTAATATCTGGTTCTGCATACACTTTGTACACATATCACCAAAATATTATCTTCTAAGCAGATAATCTGCATAATTCTTGTAAAAGCTGAAAATTTTTTTGAAGTTAAGACAAAAAAAATCAAATGTCAAAACATCATGTTTTCATTAAAATTTTTCTGTGATGCTCTTCAGAAGACTCTTCCAATATAGTTATCACATACTTCAAATATAGTTTCTCAACAATGCAAAAAGATATGTAAACTTGTAAGTGAGAAGATACATATTTGAAGAAAATATCCCAATTCTTAGAAATATGAAAAATTTATATACAGTATATAATAGCTAAACGACAAAAATCTTTTATACTTTCTAAATAGCATAATTTGAAAGCCAAACAACAGAATTTACTATACAGGTTAGAAAAAATACTTTATTTATTTAGCTATTGTAGTATTAACTATTTGTTTTCTAAAACAGATGAGACTCTCTAAACATTCTTAGTTTACATTATGAGAGCTTTAATGATCTAATTTTCAAAAATTTAGGTCAAATGTATTCACTATAATAAATGCTTTCCTCAAATATATTTCCATTACAATACATTAATATATTAATGTATTAATTAATATTAATTAATACATTAATTTATATTTAATTTAAAATTTATTTGTATTTAATTTAAAATTTAATATAATTTAAACAAATACATTAACACATTCAATTTCATTAAAACTTTTTAGTAAAATAATTATATTGTAGAGTAAGAAATATAAAACATTTTATTTCAAAATTTTGGATAGTATTGATTGAAAACTTTCTAAGGTAAAGATCACTGGAATGTCATTGCCATTCTAATGGTCTTTAGCTTTGGATGACTACATAATATAATACATATTAGACATCATATCTTGGAAACTATCAATGATAAATATAAAGATATACAGGATGTCTACAATTTATTTAATAATTTGTAACATTTAATAAAACAAACTTTAACAGATATGGGAAACAGTTTTTGTAGCAAATATAATAACTCAATGAGTTTATCACAAAGCAATAGGCACTCTAATTTAGCAAACTTTTACATAGGCATCTTTAATAAAACATAATTCAATCCAATCTGGCTTCTTGCAAAATGTTTGCAAACATATCTTAGGAAACAAACAGTGATTTTATTCTCCTAAGTTAGGTTTTCACTATCAACTATCCAATTCAGTGTTTCTAGTATTCCAGACTAACTGCAACATCAGTAACCTTCTTTGCATGTACTCGTCTTCTTTATGTATCTTCACAAAAGAATCCAGAACCTCTTGACCATATTCAAGAGAAATTGGTCATCCACTTGAATATATAGCATGGGTTTACATAAGCAAATTTAGTAGGGGCTCACACTGGCTTAAAAAGTGATATTAAATTTATCTATTTATTAAATGCTGAAACAACTCTCATATTTTTCCCACACAGGAAATGTAAATAAGTATGTACCATAACTTGTTACAATATATCATAAACAGAAAGCATATCTATATGTATGTGCTTGTATTTCTAAATTACATTTTAAACTTTGATTTTTAGCAGTGAAAAAATTCACGAGTGGCCTACTCAGAGCCTGGAGTCCCTGTATAGTGAAGTACGTTAACTACTAATTTCATACACTAGTGTTTTTCACTGTACTTAATTTCCTAAATCAGTGGTTCTTCAAGTGAACACTAATGCATAGGGGCACCGCTAGCTGTTTGAACGCCTGTGTGCAATACCGATTATGCCGCTCCCTGTTTAACTACGACTACCTATGCTGAGCTTGCCAGTAAGGCTCTTTGGTGTTGTCTCATAAGAGTGTGAAAAAAAGAAAAGAAATACTTTATAAAGAAAAACTATTTATTATTACTAAGTTATTTTTGTTTACTTAAGTGTAAAACCATATAAATATTTATTTACAGAAATTTAACTCTTCTTGCCTGTGTTTGTGAAATCTGCTATCAATTTTCTTGTATCCAAGCTGTCTAAGATTTCGTGTTCAATTGAAACTGTAGCTAAATTACTTAGTCTTTGCTGATACATTGTTGATCTTAAATAGTTTTTTATAATTTTTAACTTTGAAAAGGACCTTTCACAAAATGCAACTGAAACAGGCAATGTAAGTAATATTCTTAGTGCTATTGCTGTGTTCGGAAATGTTGATATTAAGTCATTAGTAAAAAGATATTGTAATAGGGTTTGTGGATCATTAGACTGGTTTTCTGGAAAATGCAACTTTAAAGTACAGATTTCAATCATACAAATCAATACCGTCAATGTCTGTTTCACTACTCGAATTGTCTTTAAGCTTCAGATTTAAATCCTAACCAAGTTAAAATATGATTAATTATACTTAGACCCATGTCTTATTGACAATTGCCATGACCCATTATTAACAAAATAATTGCAATTTGATATGCGATAGTACTGTTCGAATGCGTACAAGTACAAATTGAGAAGGAAGCTCTGTGGAGATTCCCTATTATCACCAGTCCTATCAACTTCTGTCATAGAGCACAACTATGAGTACTTGGCTTCTGGGCGCCGCCGGATGCTTCAACCTGCCGACAGACGTTTCGCATTGCATCTTAATTCTGATAAATGCCAATAGAGGTGCTTTAACGCTATAATATAAATAAGAATATAATAATTGCACGCCGGTCAGAATTTTTTTCTCCATACGAAAAGATTTCTTATGCTATACGTAGGGTGGGTATTATGACAATGACTTTGAATATTACGTAACCGATCACTTGATTTGCCGCCCGCGTGCGGTGCACGCCTTGCATGCCCGCTTACGGCGAGCCTGCTAATGCACTCCTGGAGGCAATGAGCAAACCTAAGGATACAAAAAGAATCAAAGGGCATCAGGGTCCTGAATGAATGGTGACTATGGGCAATGGTTGTGGTCACTGACAACCTTTCCCTTTCCCTCATTAAAACCACTAAAAAGAAACATTGTGTTTAATGGTTTCCAGATATGGAGAACAATGTATAGTAAGGACACAATATGAGGTTTGTAGAAAAATTTTTCTAAGAATATTACCAAATGTTTCTCACACAAGGGAAAATGGATTGACAGTTTATGACAGTTTATTGACAGGTTAGGTGTAAGTTTATGGACCAAACAGGTAGTGACTGAGGAAAGTTTGAGAATCATTAGCGAGATTGAGGCTGAAATTTTAAATGCGAAAATGTGTACGTCGGACGTTCAATGCCGCTTTCCCGTAAGCCTAGAAGTTTGACAATGGTGTTTGGAATGTCAAGCATGATTCCACTGACTATCCAAACACCATTGTCAAACTTCTAGGCTTACAGGAAAATGGTGCACATTTTTGCGTTTAAAACTTTGGCCTCAATCTTGCTATTGTCCTATATAATTTACAGTTTGTAAACATTAAGCTTCAATATCTAATTCATTGTTGAGTAAAGCATCTGCAATTCCAGGCTAGCATGGCAGATAAATAGCCTCAGACTTTGTTGAAGCAATGCCCTTAACAAATAATGTTTGTCAAGAGCATTGTTGCCAGTAATGGAGTAAAATTTTTTGAACTGTATATTTCATGCAAAAAAAATCTTGTGATATTCATTCTATATATCTTGTGAAATGTAGACATCCTGTCTATCTGTTACCTTTGAAAATAGCTATTTAGTAGTTATGCTGAAAAAAAAATTCTTTAGGTATAAAATCTCATGTTTAATTTAGAAAGAAATGACTAAAA